TCTCGTCCCGACTTTGACGACCGTTGGCCGACCTTCCGCGGCCACCCTTGTGGTCATCGTCGTCAGTGCCTTCTCGGTCAGGGCAGTCATAGGAGAGGTGGTCGGCGCTTCCGCAGACCCAGCACTCGCGTCGTCGACCACCGTTGCCGCGACCACTGTCACGAGATGATTTCGCCCGGTCGGCGTCCTTCGCCAGCCTCCCACCTCCGCTACCACCTCCGCCAGACTTTCCGCGCTGCCCCTGCTGACGATTCTGCTTCGTCGGTACAGCGTAACTCGCCTGCGGAAGGAGCTCTGTGGGCTGCTCTGCCTCCTGCATAGCCTCGTCTTGAAGGATGTAGCTGGTGATGGAGTCCTCGTCGAGGGACTCACGCGTGCCGGGCACCATCATCATCCTCTTCATGAGGTTGTAGCTGCGCGGCAGGCCCTTGACGATGTGGGTGATGTAGGACGCCGTTGAGTATTCGGCGCCCGCCATACGCATTTCAGCCAAGATCCGTCGAGCACGGTTGCAGTAGTCCGTCGCCGACTCCTGCTCACCCATCCGAATGTGTGTCATCTTCTCCTCCAGCTGTCCGATGTACAGGTCGTCCCTTGCCTGGTACGTCGACATGATGAAATGCCATGCTTGGTGACCAGCATCCAGCCGCTCTCGACAGGATCTGAGCGCCAGCTGCACCACCGCCGAGCAGCACCTCGAGATGACCATGAAGGTGAGCAAGTGAGCAGCATGAAACTCCCCGCGCAGCTCGACATCGTCCTCGTGCGGAATTGGCACAGTGCCGTCGGCAAAGCTCTTCAGCCCGGCGACCTCCAGCTGAGGTTCTATCGACTCCCTCCAAGTGATGAGGTCCCGTCGACCTTGCAGAGGTGCGACGGTGATCTTGTCCGGCGAAAACTTGAAGTAACCATACGCCGGCGCGATCCCGCCCGCTGTCACGTGCGTCGTCGACGAGGGACTTCCACTGCTTCGTTGAGGTGCCATCGACCGCTGCACTCACGCTTGACTCCCGCCAACACCACCGTCGACGGACCTGAGCACTCCAATCTGCCTCGTGCCCGCGCTGCCACTGACTCGATCACCTCCGTCGACCACCTCGTCGACGCCGCCGTCGTTACGCACCGGTCGAGGAGAGGCGGACGTACCGTCCGCTCCAGGTTGGGGAGGGTGTTCCGCTGCCCACTGCGCACGGATCCCAAGGAGAACCACCTCCAAGGGGAGCACCGTCCCGAACTCGCCTTCTCCATGGCGTCTCGTCGCATCAGCCAGACGTGCTTCTAAAGTATCCTCTACCCCGCCGGCCTCTGCCAGGGTAGGCACCATAGTTCGCACGGGCTGCCGGCCTACGAACGACTTAGGTAAGTGATAAGTCGGCTACTAATCTGAAGGTCGCGTGTTCGATCCACGCTCACCGCACCATGCGGAGATTAACTCTACAACGGTGGGAGCTAAACTATGGGGTTGGCACGAGTTGTCAGAGTGATCGTAGCTCTGTCTGTGTTCTCTAGGACTTGTGTTTTCACAGGGCAAAACAGCAAGAGTTTCACTAAGGAATGTTGGGAATACAGAGTTCAGAATGAGAACAAGCAATGGCAAAGATTGACTACATCACATGCAAGGTTTGCTAGTGCTCAGGCAGGTCGACTGCCAGCGTGACAGAGTTGTCGACCTGCCAACGCAGCACCTCCGCGGCCCGCCAACGCAGCTTGTGTGCGACTTGCCAACGCTGCAGATGGCGGCCGGCCAACGCTGCACCCGCGCGGCTTGCCAATGCTGCATCCGCGCGGCTTGCCAGCACTGCATCCGCAGGTGATTGTAAGCGCATGTGCAAGCACCTACTTCGCAGGTGCTTGTAGACAGTTATGCACGACGTGCACTGTCGCACACATTGCGCAGGTTGTCAGCCACATGCTGACGGTTGCACCTGATGAGCCACGTCGACCACGTGCTGCCACGTCGGTCGACTTCGCCACAGCAGCCTCGACGACGTTCGCACACCTTCGCGCACTCGTCGAGCAGGTAACTTGTTCAACCAGACGAAGTCCCTGACACCTCTGCAGGATGATGACCTTCGTCATCACCGGTTGACGACCTTCGTCGTCGCGGGTTGACGACCTTCGTCGTCGCTGCTCGACGACCTTCGTCGAGCACCTTCGTTGAGCACCTCGGTTGACATTTCAAAATGTCAGCCCCTGATTGGTCGAAATTAGGGCACATTCGAATTTCTGGCCAAAATTCGCCTGTGCAGTCTCAAGGTTGCGCAGGGTCAGACGCGACCCTGCGCAGACGAACACCCGCGAACCTCTGTACGAGCTGCACCACTTGTACATGTGCACGAGACACCTGTGTTGCACTCGCGGATGCTTCAGTTACTCTTGCATGGATTCCCTAGTACACCTCGTGTACAGGCAACCCTTGTACACCTGGAGAAGGTCGGCTGCACCTCCCGCACACCCGACCACGAAGTCAGCTTTGCCCATGCGAGGGCGGGGCCAACTTCCTTCAACAGCCTGCAGGGTATCTTCTACGCCTGCTTCGACTACAGGGTCGACCATGGCGACTGAGACGGCTGCCGGCCTACAACGACTTAGGTAATGAACGCAGAAGTCGGCTAATCTGAAGGTTCTAACGCACGGCCGTCCACGCTCACCGCACCATGCGGAGAGTCACTACACATTTGGAGTGGACTACGGTGTAGGGCACGGGGTTGTGCGAGTGATCGTAGCTTGCACTAACGTTCTTACTTCTTTCTTGTGTTCACAGAGAAGTTTGGCAAGAGTTCCACTAAGGAAGTTGAAATAACAATTTGCATTGAAAAGTTGATAGTACAATTGAGGCATGCAGAACAAAAGGACTAGAATGGCATGCAACACCTAGCGCAGCAGAGGAGCGGCTTGCCAACGCTGCAGCAGAGTTGTCTGCCAGCGTTGCACTGCGCGCGGTCTGCCAGCACTGCAGTCGCAGGTGATTATCTGCAGTCGCAGGTAACTATCTGCAGTCGCAGGTAACTATCTGCAGTCGCAGGTTGTCTATCTGCGCAGATGTGCGCACCTACCAAGTAGGTGCTGGTTGACGGTTTCACCGTCAAGAACATTGCGCAGGTGCCAGGTAGAAAACGTGTCGTCGGTTTCGCCAGGTGCGCACCGTCGACCACGTGATGCCGTTCCGCAGGTAGAACTTCGCCAAAACCTCCTGGGCGAAAGTTCGCACGCCTCCGCAGAGTTTCGCACACCTCTGCGAATTCAGTCGATTAGCTCGATATCGCTCGGTCGAACAGCGTTCGCCGAGCAGAGCTCCTCGACCCGAACTCTTCGACCAGAGTTCCTCGACCAGGATCGTCGACCAGCGCTCGTCGGCGGGAGCTCGTCACGCAGAGATCGTCGACCAGAGCTCGTCGACCAGATTCTGTCGTGCAGAGCCTGCTCGATCGCAACTTCCGTCGAACTGCAGAAGCTCAGTTGTCGACCAATCCGTCGCGAACTTTTCGTCAACGGCGAGATCGGCTGCGCCCAAGCGAGGGCGTGGCCTTTCTCTTCGACAAGCCTGACGAGCACAGCACTGCATCGTGCCTCAGAGAAGGGTCTGGAGGAGCATGAGGTGAAACACAACCTCGAAAGGAGGACGTGCCAGGGTTCGAAGCGTGCATGAGGTGTGAAGGACGAGGTGGCAATGCATCGGTGCGCTGGGTCCCGCAAGATTCTGATGTGGTAACCACGTTTTGGGACCAATGGGAAAAGATACACAGCGTGATTGCTGGGTGACGTGCCTTTGATGGTCATGGAGTTCATTCCGCGTATTTTTTTTTGGATGCTAAAAACGGAGCACATACTATTCACATGTCTGGCTTTCAAAGCACAAGTAATATATATGACCTTATGATAAGTCCCGGGTCTTATAAAATGTATGGCATCTGCTTAAGACCCCCCCCCCCCCCTCCCCCCCTATTTTGGGGGTGGGATTCTTATAATACCCCCGGGTCTTTTATCCTGGGTATTACGGAACATGCTCGTTACCGCTTGTTGCAAACTGCACACAAGTCGATTGAAAAGAATTGGCTGCGAAAGCGAAGTTGTCAGACGAGGTTGAGGCAAATCTCCAGTTGCGAAGACAACAAGGGTTTCGTTACTGTTACCTTCGAACTCAAACCTCTGATTTGTCACGGAGCGCGCGCTTTTTTGGCGGGAACCAGGAATTTGTGAGCCGAACCTCGAAACTGAGCTGGAGCCCAGAATCCAAGTTGGGGGAAGTGGTCTGACTGACGGCTTTGTTAGCGTGTGGCCGTTGGTATTGAATTCCCGCCTGGTACTTGCCCAACCAATTTTGAGCGCCTCGCGGTTCTCTGACCCAGCGAGACGCCTGGCCCGGCAATGATCGGTGCGGCACTGGCTCGCCGATTTTGTCGGCCATCAAATCCCCACCATGCGCGGTTCCAAAATGCCATGCCTTACGAGACTCAACGGCCCAGATTGAGACTTCTACAGTACATACTTCACCATACAGCTGTGGTTTGGTGAGGACAGTACAGAAGGTCAGGCAAATTCTCGGAGCGCAACATCACCCTCATCAGTAGCAGGAGCGCCTGAGGGAGCACCCTGACCCCAACCCACCCGCATTTCGCACATTTCTGACCTCACCCTCCCGCAATTCCTCGCTTCGCCTTGCCTCGCCCCAACTTGGCCCAAACCCCATTCGTTCCCCGTCTTCTCAATTTCTGTTGTTGTGCCTGTTGTTTTCCGCCTCGCTCGTAGCACAGGCAAGACCTTCGATCAGCTTGTATTAGATTTCAGGTTCACGAGGCCCGGTTGCTTTGGTTGCAGTATTCGCTAGTTAGTGTCGTCGCGTATGATCATTTCTCCTCCCTGGCATAGACACGGCGACGTCTTTCAGATTATAGCTATTTACTACTGTAAAAAGTGACTGGGCTTGGAGTTATCCAGCCCACCGAGCAGCCGTCCTAAGCAAGCATTCCTAGCGGCAGTGGCCGCAGGGGCAAAAAGCCATGCCTCCGAGTAACCACAGAAGGCCAAACGCCGCGTCAGTCTCCCCTCACGAACATCACGACCCCGCAGCATCGCCACCCAGTGCCTCCGCCGTGCTCATGGCAACAGACGCCGACGTCGCCGCCGCGTCCCCCTACGGGGAGGACCCGCAGAAGGCAGCGGCAGCAGCCATGGCCATGACCTCTCCGTGCCCACTCCTCCCTGGCGCGAAGGCAGCTGCAGCAGCCACGCCGTCCGTCTTCTGCTTCCACTCCATCTGCTACTCCGTGAATCTAGGCCGCAAGAAGTCGCTTATCCGCCGCTGCATCGAGCCGTGCGTCGGGCTCGCCGCGAAGCGCAAGTCCACGCAATTCACCTCCATCAGCGACGACGAGGCGAAGGCCTCCGCGCCGCCCAAGATCCGCGTTATCCTGAACGAGATTTCCGGATTTGCCCGGTCGGGAGAGGTTCTAGCGATCATGGGGTCGAGCGGGTGCGGGAAGACGACGCTTTTGGACGTTTTGTCGCACCGGATCGCGTCCGCGGCTGCTTCTGCGGGGCCGCTGGCGGGGGGCCGGACGGGGTACATTGAGCTGGGCGACAGGCCGACGACGGACGATCTTATGCGACGCATTTCGGCATACGTGATGCAGGACGACCTCATGTACGCGACGCTGACGGCGCGCGAGACGCTCATGTTCTCGGCGGAGATGAACCTGCCGCGAAGCTTCTCGTACAAGGAGAAGCAGGAGCGCGTGGAGCGGCTGCTGGAGCTGCTTAGCCTGCAGCACGCGGCGAACACACTCATCGGGAACGAGAACCTCAGGTACGACTTGGAAGGGCGGACGGTGGGAGAACAGGACAGAGTTCTGGGGATTGACGGTGATTAATTGCATGGGTAGCTCCGCGCAGCGCTGGGCCGCTTGGCCCATCCACAGCCTCTTGCGTTGGCCGCGTGTCAGATGGCTGAAGCAAGGCGGTGGATGCGCGTGAGAATGAGAGAGAGGGGGAGACAGAATCCGTTAAACTGCGTTCGCGTCATTGTCGTTGTAGTTGGGGGCGTCAAGCGTTCTCTGTTGCCTCGTGTCGAAGCGAGAGTGCGGCGGGTGAGAAGGCCCCTGTTCTAGTTGTGAGCAAATCTCACTCACATCGCATACGCACATGTTCGATGATCCCCCCTTGGTCTTCCTCGGCCGTTGTCGCCATTGTCTCTGCAAGCCCTGCCCGCTCGTGGCTCCACCCGTCCGTCTCTCTCCCCTCCGTTCTCGTTATCTCCCATCTCATCATCCTCCCCCTCCTCCCCCGGTTCCCATCTTCTTCCCCCTCCACCCCCCTTTCCCCTTCCCCCACCCCCACTCCCGCAGAGGCGTGTCCGGCGGCGAGCGCAAGCGCGTGGCGATCGGCGCGCACATCGTGCACGACCCGAAGGTCCTCTTCCTGGACGAGCCGACCTCGGGATTGGATTCCTCCAACGCGTACCGCGTGGTGAAGATTCTCAAGGACATCGCCCTCACGTCCGAGAGCATCGTGATCATGGTGATTCACCAGCCGTCGTTCCGCGTGCTGGAGCAGATCGACCAGCTGCTCATGCTCTCCACCGGCAATATGATCTTCTTCGGCCCGCCGCCGCATCTCCCGGCGTTCTTCGACGCGTTCGGAACCCCCGTGCCGAAATTCGCGAACCCGACGGAGTTTGCGCTGGAGCTGCTGGAGCAGCTGAAGAGCACGTCCGAGGCGGCGCTCATGGAGCTGGTGGCGTTCGCCGCCGACTGGCACCGCAGCCGCGACCACATGGCGCACGCCAAGACGGGCCGGCACGCGAAGCCCGCGCTGCTCGCCGCGCCCGGCGGCGGCGACGGCGGAGAGACGGACGGCGGCAGCGGTGCGGGTGCGCACGGGAGGAAGGGCGCGGACGGAAAGAAGAAGTTCTGCGGGCTGGCGGGGAAGCTGGGGAAGAAGGGGGGGAAGAAGGGGGAGGAGGGGGAGGAGGAGGAGGTGGTGGAGTCGGGGCATAAGGGCACGCACCGGTACGCCAACTCGTGGTTCCGCGAGTTCTACATTCTGTTCGTGCGGTCGGGGCTGATGATCATCCGCAACCCGCTGCTCTACTTCTTGCGCCTCATGCTGCTCACCGTCGCCGGTTTCCTCCTCGCCTCGCTCTTCTACAAACCCAGTCATGAGTACGCGCCTTCAAGCTCTCTCTGTCTCTCTCTCCCCCCCACTCCCGCTCACCCCTTTCTTTCCCCGTCCTTTCCCCCCGCATTTTCCCCATTCCCCCCTTCCCCTTCTTCCCGCCCCCCGTCCCCACGTATCATCCTCAGTTCTAGCCTCGCGTTTGTTTTTCTCCCCAGTTGCCCGTCTCGGCTTTGCTTCGCGCATCCTGCTGCGCTTGGCTCGCCCCTCCGCTGCCTCCCTCCTTTCCTGGTTCTCAACTCCGCCCTTTCCCCGCCCCGTTGTGCTTCTCATCCCATCACCCATCCCCCCCCCCCCCCTTCCGCCTTCCGTTCCCGTCCCCCTTTCCCCCCGTGCGCGCGCGCGTGCGCAGTCCGCAGGGCATGTTGGAGCGGCTGGCGTACCTGTCGTTCATCGTGGCCATGCTCTTCTTCTGCTCCGCTGACGCCACGCCCATCTTCATCATGGTACGCGCGTCTGTGCGTGGTTGTGTGTGTGTGGGGGGGGGAGGGGGGGAAGAGGTGTGTGGTGGTGTGTGGTGGTGGTTGGGTGTGGGAGGGAAGGCGGGAAGGAGGGAGGAAGGGGGGTGGGAGGAAGTGCGGAGCGGGAGTGTAGGAGGGCGCTGTGCGTGAAAGGGCGAGAGAGAGTGTGTGTGTGCACGCGCGCGCGCGTGTGAGTGTGAGTGGGAGAAGGGAGTGACAGCATAGCAGTGTCCGTGCATTGTCCGGCGTGATAAACGTAAAAATTTGAGACGTCTCAAAATGGTACTTTTATCACCGGGCTTGTACTCGGGTCAATGCAATGCGAGAGTGTGGTGTGGGTAGAGCAAAGCAACATGCACTTCCACCTCAGTCCTCCTCGTCTCTCCCCCTCCAACTCCCTCATTCCCCTCAACCTCCCCGCTTTCCCTTTCTCTCCCCCTTTCCCTCCCCCGCTGCGCGCGCAGGAGCGCAACATATTCATCCGCGAGACGTCGCACAACACGTACCGCGCGTCGACGTACGTGGTGGCGACGATGGCGGTGTACATACCGCTGCAGGCGCTCATGGCCATGACGCTCACGCTCGAGTCGTGGTGGACCGTCGGGCTGTCGGGCGGCTTCGCCGGCGCGCTCTTTTTCGCCACCATCTGCTTCCTCTGCCTCTTTACTGGCAACGCCATCGCCACCTTCGCCAGTTCCTTCTTTAAGAAGTGAGTGCGCGGGTGCATATACGTGTGCGCGCGCGCGCTTTACGTGTGATTGTTGTGCGACTGTGCGATTCCTCTCCCACGCTTGCCTCTCTCTCCTCACCTCTCTCTCTCTCTCTCTCTCCTCACCTCACTCTCCGCTCCTTCCCCCAACGCCCTCCCCCCGCCCCCCCTCGCGCCCCGTCCGCAGCATGATTCTGGCGTACGCGACGGTGATATCGACGATGGCGTATTTCACGCTGGTGTCGGGGTTCTACATCCACCGCACGTCCATCCCCAAGTTCTGGATCTGGCTGCACTACATCTCGCCCATGAAATACGCCTTCGAGGCGCTCGTGCAGAACGAGTTCGTCAGGTGCGTTGCGTTTATGCGTGCGGGCATGCGTTGATGTGTGTGTGGGATGGGAGGGTGGAAGGGTGGTGGATGTGCGCTGCTTGCTTGCGTGCTTCCTCGGCGCTCCACTCCTTACCTACCTCAGGACATCCTCCCTTGCCTTGATTCTCCGCTCCCTGTGTCTCCCTTTCCTCCCTTCTCCATGCGTCTCTCCTCAATACAACCACCCAACCCCCTCCTCCCCGTCCCCCCCCCATGCCGCCTGTTCCTCCACCCCACAGGGACACGGGTCTGTGCTACCTGACGCTGAACGGGGCGTTTGACATCCAACCCATCAGCACGCCCTCCCCTCCCAACCCAACCACTCTCTCTTCCCCTTCCTCCCTCCCCCCACCTCCACCCCACAGGGACTCGGGTCCATGCTACCTAACGCTGAACGGGGCGTTTGACATTGAGCCCATCAGCACGTACGTGAACACGACGCGCCTGAAGCCGGCGCTCATGTCGTTCCTGCCCAACGTGGTGACGCCGGGCGTGGGGCCACTCACGTCGCAGTCGTGCATCATGACGGGCACGTTCATCAGCCGCAAGTACCTGGATATTGTGGAGCTGAACAAGTACCAGAGCATGGCTGTGCTGTTCTCCATGGCGCTCTCGGTGAGGATTGGGTACTTTTTGGTGCTCACGCTGATTTACAAGGCGAAGAGGAAGTAGAGGGGAAGGAGGAGTAGAGGGGAAGGAGGAGTAGAGGGGAGGGGGAGGGAGAGGGAGAGGGAGAGGGGGAGGGGGATGATGGAAAGGAAGAGAGGGCAGAGATTGGGCACTTACACTATGCATGTTCAACCACACACTCACACACAAACACACGTATATGGAGTAGACACCCAGAATGTGTCTGCTTGACTCAAGGGCAGGTACTGTAACTGTGGCCTGCTGTATGTGCAGCAGGCATCTGTTAGCCCAGCCATTTCTGTATGGCTGCTGTGTGCAACTCGCAGGCAAGTGAGAGCCAGGTGGATGATAAATATAGCAGTGGTGCGTTGTGAATGGCTTTAGGGATTGCTCAGCTCGGCAGGGTAGTGATGATGACTGCTTCTAGAACACTGCTGAAAATGTAGATTTTTTCATGATTATAATATGTGACTGAAATGTATGCCATTGCTTGTTGTGCATCGCAAACTTTACTGGGACTGTAAAGATTTTGAATTCACAACTGTAGTCAGCCCTTAGCGAGGACATCCCGAGCACTTCGCATCAGTGGGGTTCGGCCTAACCTTCGCCCCGAACCGGCCCGAGTCGCCCCCGCACCAATCGCGACACTCCCAAACCTCGCATGTCCCGATGTCCTCGCTCGCCTAACCAGGTTTCGCCCTATAAATGCTCGTCCTTTCATTGTATTCTCAGCTTCCGTAATCACAGTCTCTTTATAGATCATTCCGCGCGCTCTGACATACTGGTAGGCGAAATCCATTTCCTCCATATTGTCGAGATTTTTCGCACACGCATTTTCGCCTCAAGCAGCTACCCACCCACCCATCACAAGCGCAGCTCTTTCAACAGCACCATGCGCCAACGAACTACATTCTACTAGTTGCGTCCTCGCTTGTTGCGTCTCTGGTCGGTGTCATTCCACATTCTTCTAGTCCCAGCATACTTAGTTGACGAGAAAAATTACTTGCGACGATGAAGAGTGCGCGCGGTCGCGAGAGCTCTCGCCTGCTGTCGCTCCCCGACGAGCTGCTCCAGTCCGTTCTCGCGCGCGTCCACCACCCGCGCGATCGCTGCAGCCTCGCCCTCTCCTGCTCTCACCTCCGCCGCCTCTCCCGCCGCACGCCCCACTCCCTCCGCCTCCACTTCTTCGCGAAAAAACAAGGCGTCACCGCCCGGGAATGGATGAAGAACCTCGACATTTATTCCGGGGTATTTACCCATATAGTCGACCTTACGGTGGAGGTTAGCTGCGCCACCATCGACCAGCTGCTGGGGGGAATCGGCGCGGGCTGCCCGAAACTGGAAAGGCTGAAGCTCGTGTCGGTGCGCGACCCGCGGTTTCAGATCAACGCCGCGGCTTGGAGGAAGCTCGCGCGGCAGTGCCCGTGAGTGTGATTTGGTTCTCTTGCCGCGACGGCGCCCCTACAAAAACTTTGCTTCCCCCCCTCTCGCTTATTCTCTAACAGCTACGACCGTTCTACCTAGTAGGTCACTTCTCTCCGCATACCGCGCTTCTCGTCTCCTTCATCCTTCTGCTTTTAGAAACCTTTCGGTTCTCTATCATTTACCATGGCACGGAATCGCGCGGTTCAGTTTATTCTTGCGAACGGGGTTTACAATTTTGCTGTTATATCCTCATGGCTGTGTTCCGCCCTGATAGCTCTTGTGCCAAGAAGGAATGAAACCCCATCCGCAGCAAGCCTTCTAGCATCCATCTCCCGTCATTTCTTTGCACTCATGTGCGGCCGCCTTACCCACATCGTCGCGCCTCCCGTCACCATTTCACTTTCACATGGCCATTTCCAAAGGGGCAAGTTCCTTCCACTCATCTTTAGCCACTTCCCTCTACAACGCACCGTCCCTTCAATCCTCTGTTCTCAAACCTCCCCCCCACCCCTTCCCTCCGCCCCCCCCTCCCCCTTCGTTTCCCCTTTCCCGCCACCTAACGCGCGTCCGCTCCCCCTCTCCCCCACGCATCAGCCGCATAACGTCACTCGAGCTCGACTCCCCACTCGACCGACGGTTCATCGAGTTGAACGAAACGCCGCCTCCCCCAGTAGACGCCTTCCCTTCACTGCGCTCACTCACGCTCCTCTACCAGCCCTCGCAGTACCGCTTCATCGCCCGCTGCTCCTCCCTCACCTCCCTCACCCTCTGGCGACCCAACGCCTTCGTCCTCTTCTCCCTCGCCTCCTCCTCCTCCCCTCTCCACCTCTCCCTCTCCTCCCTCACCATTCACTCCGCTTTGCTCGAAGCTGCTCTCACGCCTCTCACCGCCTTCCCTCGCCTCACCTCTCTCGCCTTCCACTCCTGCAGCATCGATTCTTGTGAGCTGCACGCGCTCTCTCGCTCCCTCCACACGCTCACGCACCTCGCAGTCCACGACTGTCCCTTAGTCTCCAGTCATTCCCTCGCCGCCTTGGCTGACACCAACCCGGCTCTCTCCTCCCTCTCCCTCCACTCCACCTCCTACCCTCTCTTCGCCGCCCAAGGCCTTCGGAACGTGCTCCGCGCGTCCTCCTCCCGCCTCCACACCCTCACGCTCTCCGGGCTGCCCGCGTTCCGCCCCGGCACGCTTGCACGCTGCAGCGGTCTGAAGCGTCTTACGCTGAGAGGGAGGGGGGAGGCGAGGGAGAGTGTATCGCCGTCTGAGTCGACGTATGAGTCGCCACAGGAGCCGTCTTTGGAGGGCCTTGTGGCCTTTCTGGTGCGCGTGGAAGAAAGGGGTAGCGGTGGAGGAGGAGTGGAGCAGCGGGGGTGCCTGGAAGGAACGGAGGGAGGGGTCGATGGAGGGGAGAGACGGGAAGGGAAGAAGCGCGGGGAAGGAGGAACACCTGCGTCCGGTTCAGCAGCAGCAACAGCAGCAGAAACAGCAGAAACAGCAGAAGAAGCAACAGCGGCAAGAGCTGCAGCAGAAAGCACAGCAGAAGCAGCCACGCCAGTACCGACCCACGCTGGGACGAGGGGCAACACGGACCGACGGTACTACCTGGATATCCGCACGGAAGCGGCAGCAGCACACGCTGACACAGCCGCAGCAATTGACGATTCAAGGGCCCTGCTGCTGACGACCGCTAAGCAGAAGCTCCGGAAAGCAATTGCGGAAGCGCAGCAGACTCCGCGCATGCACGGGGAGTCCGCCCTCGCGAATATCCGGAATGCGGTGATTCTGGTGCGAGCGGCCATGTCGTTCTGCCGGTGCGTGCGGCTGGCTGTGGTCCACGTGGACGGCCGGATGGCACGCGAGGCAGCACTGAAAAACGTCGGTTCTGCTGCTGAGTCTGCAGGGTTCTTCACTTCAGCAGTGGATTATGAGAGAGAGGAGCGCGAACGGGAGAGGGCGGGGCGGGAGGGAGGAGGAGGAGGGAGGGAGGTGGAAGAGCTAGTGGGGTTCGTCCCTGAGAGTGACCTGCCGGCTGATCTGGCGGAAATAAGCGAGACGCTGCTGGGGGAGCAGACGGGTGTGTGGCCGGCGTTTGTGGCGGTGTCGAGAGAAGATGCGCACAGGCTGCTGCATGTGCTGAGGGAACAGCTGGATGCGCACATGGAGTCTTTCATTGATGCCTTTGAGGGCGCGACGCCCCTCGCAGTGATCTGGGCAGCTGCGGCACCCGGGGCGCCCGTCGCAGTGCCGCCACCAGTGCCTGGGGCAGCGGCACCAGTGGCAACGGCACCAGGAGCAGCAGCACATGGGGCAGCAGGAGCAGCAGCACATGGGGCAGCAGGAGCAGCAGCACATGGGGCAGCAGGAGCAGCAGCACATGGGGCGGTGGTAGATGGAGCGGCAGCACATGGGGCGGCAGCAGATGGGGCGGCAGCAGATGGGGCGGCAGCAGATGGGGCGGCAGCAGATGGGGCAGCAGCAGATGGGGCGGCAGCAGATGGGGCAGCAGCAGATGGGGCGGCAGCAGATGGGGCGGCAGCAGATGGGGCGGCAGCAGAAGGGGCGGCAGCAGATGGGGTGGCAGCAGAAGGGGCAGCAGCGCAGGAGCTAACAAGCGCAGAAGGAGAAGCAGGAGGGCCAGTGGGAGAGGGTGCGAGCACCGAAGGAGCAGCGCAGCCGCTGCCAGAGGCAGAGTCGGGAGGAGGACAACGCACAGCTGACGAGCAGATGAGAGAAGACAAGCAGCTGGGCAGCAGAAGCCCAACGCACACACCCTTGAAGGGGCGCACAACACCAAACAAGAGCATATGCATACCCTCCAAAAAGAGCACACCTCGAAATAAAAGCACACCCCCAAATAAGAGCACACTCGCTATTCCTGTGGAAGTGTTTTGCCCGCCGTTGGAATCCCTAACCCTCGAGAGCATTCAGTTCGCCGCCGATTATGACCCTTCCTGGCTGCCTTCTCCCCTCCCCTCTGCCTCGCCTCTCATGTGCCCCTTGCCCCCGACCACACCCCTCCCTTCCCATTATTCATCCTCCTCCCCCTATCCTGTCCCGAGAAGATTGAGTAGCGAGCCACAGACCTTTGAATCCGTGGCACGAGCTGCTGTGTTTGGAAGGCTCAAGAGCTTGGCACTCTTGAACTGCTGTGGGCTGGGGGAGGGACAGCTGGTGAGGCTGCTCCGTGCATGTGGCATGCTGGAGGATCTGCGCGTGGAAGGCAGTGATGCGTTCTCAGACATGGTGATTGCAGGGAGTAAACTGGAGATGCTGACTAGGCTGACTGCGGTGGGGTGTGGTGGAGTCACTGCAGGCGGCGTTGGTGGGCTGCTGGGGAACGTGCCAAGGCTGCGGTATTTGAAGGTGGAGGCGAGTAAGGTTTCTGAAAGGGCTCGCCGGGAGTTGCTTCGTGCTGGAGTGGTTGTTAGGGGAGTGTGAGAACGACAGAATATTCGTGGGAAAAGTTAGTCGTCTTTCATGTCAAACTATATCTGCATACCGTTTATCTTGTTGAGTAGGTTGCTTAGGTTGAGGGTACTCTGTCGTGAGTACAACATTGTTAACCCTGTATGCCCTTGTGTTAGTCAATCTCCCACTTTCTGATATGGTATTGGTTAGGGTAGGATCCGCACTTTCGCTCTAATCGCCCCCTCGCCCATGTAAGGAATTTTCAGGACGTTGACATTCAGGACGCCATCGAGAGGAAAGTGCATGTTAGAATCAGTAGCTAGGTGAGGATGTCGATTAGGTAAGGGAGGGGGATACAAGACTATCGAGAGTGAAATGTTGTACCCTCTAAGGAAAGAACCCTACACAACCTAGAGTGAAATGAACAGAACAATATGTTTTGACATACCCCCATAGGTGAAGTAGGGGATAGCCAAACCTAACAGTGGTCACAAGACCAGTCAAGCAAGAGAACAAGCAAGGCAAAGCTCAGGGTGGATCTCAAGGACACCACACAATCTGAGCACAAGCAGGCGGCCACAAGGCCAGTTCACATGCAGATTTATAATAGCAAGGCAGTACACTGATCACAACCTAGCAAGAGTAAACATGCAGGTAAAAAGATATATAGCAGTGTACAACAAGAGCAAGTCAAGCAACCAGCAGGTGAGGCAGAGTGGGCACAAGCCCAAGAGCAGTGCAGAAGCGGTGATGATCACCAGACCCAAGGGCCTTGGTGAAGACATTAGCAGTGTTGGCCCGAGAGGCCACGTAAGCAAGGCGCAGCTGACCACGCTGCTGCAGCTCACGCGCAAGAAAGTAGCGAAGAGCAATGTGCTTCGTTCTGTGCTCCAGTCTCTGCTCGCGACACAAGGCAAGCATTGCCTTGTTGTCGACGTACAGAACTGGAGGAGAACGAGGCCGCTCCCCCAAGTCGGTCAGCAGGTAGGTCAGCCAGCGTAGCTCCTGTGCAGCCATGGCCCCAGCGTAGATCTCGGCCTCACAACTGGAACCAAGCACAGAAGAAGAACGAGTGGACCTCCACGAGACAGAACCAGAGCCAAGACTGAAGGTGTAACCCTGTGACGAACGCTGAGTCGTCTGGTCGTCGGCCCAAGAAGCGTCAGAGTGTCCTGTGAGTACCACTGAACTCCGTCCTCCAAGCACAAGCCCCATGCCTGATGTGCTGCACAAGTAACGCAGTACCCTCTTCGCAGCATCAAAGTGCACCTTTCGGTGTCTACCAGGTGCCACGTAGCGAGCCAGGAGGCTGAGAGGGTACGCGAGGTCAGGTCGTGTGCACGTCATCAGGTACATGAGGCAACCCACAAGCTCTGGGTACGGACCACTCGGCTCTACGGACTCGTCCGAAGGTGGAGCTGAGAGCGAGTGGCCGGTAGACAGAGGAGTGGGCTGTGGCAAGGACCACGAGAAGCCGAAGCGCTGAAGGACCTGGTGCACCATGTGTGACTGAGTCAGGGTGATGGTGCGCCGCGCTCAGTCCCGGGTGATCTGCAAGCCAAGATAGCTCCGCAGCTCACCCATGTCAGTGCAGGTGTGTCTCTCCTGCAGCTCCGCCTTCACTAGGGCCAGTGCCTATGTGTCAGCAGTAGCAAACACCAAGTCATCGACGTACACGAGGATGTAGAACGGCGGCAGAGTAGTGTCGGTGCGTAGAAACAGCGACGGGTCAGCAGTCGAAGGAGCAAACCCAAGAGCCACAAGTGTCGTCCTCAGTGTGTCGTGCCACTCGCGGGGCGCCTGACGCAGGCCGTACACTGGTCGCCGTAGGCTCCACTGGGTACCCTCAGGAAACGACCCAGTGAAGCCTTCTGGACGGTGCAACCAGATGGCCTCGTGAAGGCTACCCTGCAGGAAAGCTGTCGAGAATTCGAGGGAGTGCAGCTCGTAGTCACGCTGAGCTGCAACGTGTAGCAACACCCGAAGAGTGGTCATCTTCGGGGTGGGGGAGAAGGTCTAAAAGAAGTCGACCCCCTCACGCTGACTGAAGCCTCGAGCAACGTAACGTGCCTTGAAGGCAGGCGGAGAACCCGGCGGCCGCTTCACCCTGAAAATCCACATGCCACTGACGATGTTCGCCCCAGGTGGGGGAACCTCATCGACGTAGGTGCCTGTGGACTTCCAGGAAGCCATCTCTGCGTCCATGGCTGTCTGCCACTGAGAGGAGTACTCACCCGAAATCGCCTCCCTGTAGGAGCGCGGGGTGGGGATGTCAAGTGCATCCGGGTCTCCCTCAGGGGCAAGCAGCATGGTCGCGTGATGGGGTGAAGCGGCAGCAAGGCACTCCAGCTCCTCCTATCTGTCCTCAAGAACGTCACAGCCAAGGGCAGTACAGCCAAGAGCAGTCTCACCCCCGACGGACGGAGGACAGGCAGGGACAGGGTCAGAGACAAGACTCGCAAGGTAGTCTAGGCGGTACACAGCAGCAAAGTCAACGAGCTCAGCTACTAGGGCAGACGCAGCAGGAGACGAGAACGTAGGGTCCGTCACAACCGTAGCAAGAAGGCGAGTAACAGTCGGACTGGACGCACGAGTAAGGTCAGACGGAGGGTCAGCAACGTCAGGCAGAGAGGACGCAGGAGGTAACGGTAGGGCAACACGCTGAAGAACAGAGGAAGGACGGAGTGTCATATCGTGAGTGCCGGGGACAGCCGGAGCACGCAGACGACGAACACGAGGAACACGAGCACGGACAACAGCTCTAGGCTCAGGCTCAAGGTCAAATCTAGACACAGGCTCTCGACGCTCAGGGGTGGACGCACGAGTCTCAGGCTCTCGACGCTCAGTCAGGGACTCTGACACCGCAGTGTAAGGAGCAGGAGCAGGCAGTGGGGAGTGTGGTAGCAGCGGTGGCTGTGACTGGTCCGTCGGTGGACACAGCAACGGAGGAGTAGTACCTGCCACAGGGAAGCCAGTAGCACCTGGCGGAAGACTGAGAATGTGGCGAAGAGCACCAGTAGCTCCCGTACCTCCAGCACGAGCAGCTCCTCCAGTACCCCCAGCAACACCTCCAGCACCAGTAGCACCAGCACCTCCAGCACCACGAGCTCCGACAGCGCCAGCACCTCGAGCACCAGTAGTACCTCCAGCACCTCCAGTGCCTCCAGCTCCAGTAGCACCTCCCGCACCTCCAGCACCAGCAGTACCACCTGCTCCGGCAGCTCCAGCACCTCCAATACGAGCACCTCCGGGACCAGTAGCTCCAGCACCTCCAGTACCTCCAGCTCCAACGCCTCCAGCACCAGCAGCACCAGCACATCCAGGGTCAGCAGCTCCCGCAGCTCCAGCACCAGTAGCACCAGCACCTCCAGTGCCAGTAGCTCCAGCACCTCCAGTAACAGTAGTACCTCCAGCACCAGCAGCTCCAGTACCTCCAGCTCCAGTACCTCCAGCACCGGCAGCACCTCCAGTACTAGCAGCTCCAGTACCTCCAGCACCAGCAGCAGCTCCAGTACCTCCAGCACCAGCAGCACCTCCAGCACCTCCATGCCTAGCAGCTCCAGTACCTCCAGCACCAGTAGCACCTCTAGTACCTCCAGCAGTACCTCCAGGCCTAGCAGCTCCAGTACCTCCAGCACCAGCAGCACCTCTAGTACCTCCAGTAGTACCTCCAGCACCAGGGTCGCCAAGCGAGGAGTGCGGCGAGTGGTCGCCGTGTCGTCGGCGACGGCGTCACCCCCCTCAGGTGAGTCAGAGGAGTCAGAAGAGATCTCAACTGGCTCATCCAAGGGGGGTGGGTCTACCTGGGACACACCTGAGGGAGCAGGACCCTATGGGGGGAGGGGGTCTACCGGGGGGGGGACTGGTACCAGGAAGAGGGGTGCAAGGGGGACCGGGTGGGACGCGTGCGGGTGAAGTCGATAGTAACAGACCGACTCGTCGAAGGTGACGTCCTGAGAGGACAGAACACGACGCGAGGCAGGGTGGTAGAACTGCCAGGGCGGTGCGTCGGTGAGGAAGCCCAGGAAGACACAGCGGAGAGGGCGAGGAGAGAGCTTGCTCGCTTTGGTATCGCGAACAAGGGAGAGCGCGCCCCAGACCCGAAACGACGACGCATCACCAGGCTGTCCCGTCCAACGGAGTGTGGGCGAGGTCTCTGGAGCAGAGACACGGGGCCAGAGGTGGAGCTGATGCGCGGCGTATCGGACCGCAAACGGCCACAAGAAATGGGGAGCAGCCGCATGGATCATGGAGGTACGAGCAACCTCCATGATCAGGCCAATGCGACGTTCAGCGATCCCATTTTGCTGCGGAGAGGCCGGAAGCGTGAACGATTGGGAGATGCCCTCATCCTGGCAGAACGTCTCAAGGACGCCAGAAGAGAACTCACCACCCCTGTCAAAGTGCAGACGCAGGACTGGGAAGTCCTGCTGAAAGCGCTCGTGTAGCTGGAGACGAGTGGCACGGATCCAGGGGATCAAAACACCGCTGACGTCCGCCTTGCGACGCAAGGGGAAGACTGTGGTGTAGCGTGTGTAGTCGTCAACAGCCAGCAGGAAGTAGCGCTCCTGGTCCGTCCCACCGACGGGGGCCGGGCCCCACACGTCCAGGTGGAGAGTCTGCAGAGGAGCAGTGGTCGGAGGAAACTCGGAGGAGTGAGGAGCGGCGCGCTGCCGCCCCTCGACGCAAGAAAGGCACGGCGGCGCAAGTGAGCGCGGGAGGGGGGGCAGGGTCTCAGGGAGGCCAGAGACCAGGAGCCGGGAGTGCATGCCGCGCAGACGCTGCAGGGAGGGGTGACCAAGACGGTGGTGCCAGCGCTGAGTCTCGTGCATGAGTACTCTGCACGAGCAAGGCAGCTAACTGCCATGACGCAGACGCTCGACTCGACGCAGCTACCTGACCTGACTCAGCCACCTGTGCAGACGCAGTGGTCAGTGTGTACAGACTAGACCCAGGCTGTCGAGTGAACGTAGCCAGGTGACGGCCAGTCCGGGAGCATGTACAGATCGCCACACGCTGCCCTCCAGGAA